TTGATTTGCATAACGTACTGATGTGAATGTACCGCTGCAGAAAACATTCTTGGAGCTTGCAAGAAGAACTCTTTTAGTGCCCGTAGTTTAGGGTCACTAAGGGGTCATAGTCTGAATTCTCCATACTACCTGTAAGACTCACTGTTTACTGTATATGAAGGTTTTATTATAACTGTAGCACCCCGGATGACTTTGTGTTTTAAACACATGCTCAGAGGAAGTGAAGTTCTGCGTTTTTAGAATATATTCTCAGTGTTGAACGTGTGCTGTGTCTTATACTTTTCTGAAATTTCACTCGTCTTTGCTGTTCGTTTATTCACTTCTCTGGAGCCGAGCCAACAGAATTAAAATTTTGGCTGGCAGTCTAATTCATTTTTGTGTTTATTGAGCCAGTTAACAGTTTGTGTATTTCATACGATTGTATCTTGTGTACTATTTATAGTATCGGTTGAGCTGCAATGATCCTGGTGACTGAAACCCTTTATCATATGAACAATACTGACTTTATGAAAGTGATATTATCAAATATAGTTTTTTCTCACAATCCCTTCGAAACATTATATGTTCATGTTCATGACACAACACAGCAAATGGAGAGTTTTGAGTCTTTAAACTCCTACCAGAAACTCTGCCTCTGTCTAATGATTACATTAGTTTAAACAGAGCACTAATTATTATCATTGAAAATATGCCAGAGACAAGACTGTGGTAAGAATCTAAATCATACCAGTAGCTGTGTTCCCATGGTATAAAAAACACATTTCACCCAAGCTTTCCCCCCCCCGTCTCCAAAATATGTTACTAAGGGGACGAATCTGGGTTAAAGACAAGAAGAAAAGAAAAGAAAAGGCAACATAGCAGCTTCTCAGCTTCTGGCAGATGTACTCTTTCTGGTACATCTCACCATATTCTTCTTGAAGGTACGCCTTTCAGAGCTCATTCCGGGCTCATGAATACCCGTCTCGCTCTACCTACTCTGCCTCACTTTTCCATCCTATAGGAGAAATCACACATTGAAATTCACAGCAGCCACATGAATGTGAGATGTAGATATGTGATTTTAGCACACATTGTTGACATTATTGTGATTATTTTCTCTGATTCAGTTGCTGAAAATGAAAACAGTCCAGGAAGCAATTTAAATACGGTATATGATCATGTTGCCTAGGAATATGATTTTCAGTGATTTTTCTGTTAGGTGTGCTCTGCTTTTGAGCTCCACATGTGTATTCAAGCAGAAAATCTATTATTTCCTCACAGTTAACAAAACACTGATTCAGACTGAACTACAGTTTAATATCGCTTATGCATTTTTAGTCCCAATTGTGGTTTACATTAAATTGTTTAACGTCTTTCTGGCATTTGAAATCATTTACCCTGAAAGTTTGGAGTTTAGGTGTTACAGTAGGTTGTGTGTGTGTGTGTGTGTGTGCGTGCGTGCGCCCAGTATCTAGTGACATTACAGACTGATCGTTCCAGTGCACTGTAGACTCTCATGAATAATTCATGACCTCTTTATGCTGCTGTTAGTCAGTAGATTTATTTCCATTTGTTTTTTTTTTCTCTGTTTGTATTTTAACATATCGTAGTCTGGATATGTTGTTTTTTTTCATTTTTCTCTACTCACACTCGGTCAAGCTGTTGCCCTCTATCCCTGTCTCTTCTCATATATTTTACATGGGAGACTGTCTGTGTGTGGTCTAATTAAATTGAACCTCTGTCTGTGTCTCTGTCTGTGTCTCTGTCAAAGGGAATGGGATCAGTGCGGTTTAGAAGGGCCTTTTGTGAGACGCTTATCTCGAATTGCTCAGTTACTCAGTGTGAGCGCACAAAGATGAAGGGAGAGGGAGACAGAGATGCATGTCTATGTCATTTTTGAATGTGCAGGTAGAAACATCGTTGTGTTTGTATTTCTTTTATTTAATCAGGAAAGACAATCTCGTTTTCAAGAGTATCCTGGCCAATACAAGCAGCAGCACAATTTACAGAGTTTCAAACAAACCCTAAGCAGCCCACCATACAAATACAACAAAAAAAATACATTATTAGACATTAAAAAACACATCACAAATCAAGATCATCCACAAACACATCAGGAAGAACATCTACAGCCGAATGTGTCCGTCTCCAGTCATTTAACATCTTCTTAAAAGCATCCACCAATAATATAGCATCATGCTTTCATTGATAAAACTCTCATTTTCATAAAGCTGTCACTTACACATTTGACCCTCCATATACGTATGTAAATGAGATCCTACAAACTATTTTGCAGAGTTGATTTTGATATTGGTCCATGCAAGACTGCTGAGCAATGAAATTTCAGACAAAATATGCAAATCTGGATTCTGTCAATACAGCACAGAGAGTTAAATGATGACTTTGCTTTTTACAAAGTTCTTTCTTTTCCTCTTTATGTCTTGCTCTCACTTTCTTGAGGTCAGTCATACTGTGAGTTTCAAAAAGTGTCAGTCCACCTGAGTGAGCTGTAACACGAGCTCAATGGGGATGACAATCTGGAGGCTGGAACCATTCATCCATCCATTATGTATGTAGCTTGTCCAGTTCGGGTTTGCGCTGGTGCTGGACCTGAGCCCAGCTGTCATTTGGCGAGATGCGGGGTTACACCCTGGACCGGTCTCCAGTCAATCACTGGGCCGACATGCAAACAACCACACCTACGGACGATTTAGAGTCACCAATTAACCTAATGAGCATGTCCTTAGACCGTGGGAGAAAGCCTGAGTAGGGAACCCAGTCCATACATGCAAGGGAGAACATGCAAACTCCTCACAGAAGGCTCCTGTCTGACCGGGGATTTTGAACCATGCAGGAACGCATGGTCGTGCCAACCACTGCAGCACCGTGCACCTTGAGGCCATGATCATCAAGATAAAAAGCATTTTCTGAAAAGTGTGGACCCAAAACTGTGTTTATTTGAAATTGTATTGATTGCATTCATTTTAGGGAACATAATTTCCCTGGGACCCAATCAAATGAGCACCTGTGGGTCCCGGGAATCAATTCATTGAGAACCTTTCACATCACTGAATGTTAAACCAACTAATTAATGACAGATTCCATATCCTAAACAAGCCTTTTAATAGGCTTAAATATGCTACAGAGATGAAGAGAGAAGGACTGTGTACGTTTGGCATCTTTATTTAAAGACCTAACAAATGCCACTGCAATTGACTTCAAGTATTTCAATGCTGATTTGTATTTTCTGCTCACATATGTGTGGAGCCCTTTCTTTCTTTTTTCTTTGAGTTTTAAAGCTTGTGTTATTTCTGACCTTATGTCTGAATCTGGTCGGACTGTATGGTTTCACTTTGAGGAGTCACTCCCTCTAAACAAGCTCCAAGATACAGCTTCAGTTCTTTCAAAAGGTGCGTCCATTTAGTCTCCTGTCTTGGCTGAGGTGATTAAGGGATGGCGAGGGATGTAACATTATACTCAACAAAATACAACAATTATTTTCATATTTCAGCTTCCTCCTGGATTTCAATGTTGAGTGCCACCAATAAAAAAGAACCCCATATTCGACTCCCAGGGAGCTTTAGCACCTCACCATTGAGCTTCATCTATTTTTTAACAGCAATTGCATTTTATATGACCCTAGCTCCTTTAAGTCTTAAAGCAACACCTGGGGCTTAGTTTGGTTTTAATTTTTCATTGAAGAAGAAATGACCATTTCCCGTTTGCCCATAAAGGATGCACCTTCTGACCTGTCCTCATTGCAGGCAGCACTTGAGGACTCTTTGCTTGGTATTTACGGATGTGTGTGGGGACATAACATTCAAGTGAAAATCTTCGGATCTACTGCTTTGGGTAGTTTTTTTGTTAAAGTTGGGTTAAGCAGGATACACACTACAGGATAACAGGGCCATGGACCTTCTCTCCTTCCATAGAAAAGTCGCAATTCTTTTATGGTTCTAAAGGCTTAAACACATTTTCTGTTTATGTCAGATGGTGAGGGTGAAAGGACGTCTGAGGAGCCCTGATTTAAAATGATTCATTTCAAACATGTTCAATGCAACCCTTAATACCTTCTGATATTTGTCACATAAGAATGTGTCTATTATTCGTATTGGTTTAGAACAAACTGACTCCAAGATGTATTTCACTGTTGCATGATTCTTTAGTAAACAAAGGATAAAACATAAAGGAAAGTCGGCTCTAAAGAGCAACATCTGTGCCTGAGCTGAATTAACGACACCAAAGTATTAAACCTAACTGTGCTGTAATTACATGGAAAAAGTCAAGTACACGTAAAGTTGTTCTTTATCATCTTATTTTAATTTTTAGATCGAAATAGAGTCATTCAATCATTCATTCAAGTTTTCAAAACTTCTGCGTGGAGTCGGCTCAAGTGGTTGCGTAGGTTTGGTCGTCTTGTTTTTATATTTAAATACTGACTCACACAGCTCACGCGCCACATGACTTCTTCTATGGACTTCTTCTGTTCCACTTTTACACCGCAATCTAAAACGTGTCCAAACATCAGCTTCAATTGCTTGAGGCCCTTACTTCAAATGTCTACCCATCGCTGTGGCCATTTTGTTGAATAAACAACAGACGTTGTTTAGCTGAGTGGGGCCTCTGTAGAACGCAAATCACAGTACTGCGGCACCAACAGCACCCCCCACAGGAGAGGGACTTCATTACAAAGGAAATAATCCATTTCAGGATTTTCTGAATCAATATTGAATTGGGCAAATACTAAATTGCAGTGCATTGATGAATTGCTATTTTTACACAGCCCTGGTCACATGTGGGGTCTCTCACATTTCAAAATCTATACAGAGGTTAAAAATCATGGGCCAGGCATTAGTGGTGTGTTTTTAGTTTTAAGTCTTCATGTTTAAGTTGATGACTTACCTGTACATGATTCTTAACCATTAACAGCAGTGGTGACTTTGAAGGCCTTCTTTACAGAAAGTACAAATTGATGATTGTCATTAAACATTTCTTCTTCATCTTCCTGACTCTGCTTCCAGATGAGGGTTACTACCAAAGTGGAAGGTTTCAGTTTGAAATCGACGTCCCCGAAGCCTATAACATGGTGGTAAGTGGTCCAGTTTTTCTATCAGTTGTTTTTGTCAAAGGAGTTTATGTGTATGTTTGTGTGTTTATGTATTTGACCACCTGCCTGTCAGCTTTAGGTGGGAGCTTCCTGTTCTGGTCGGTCAAACTAACCTCCCTTCCTGTTTTGGCCTGTTTTTTTTTTTTTTTGAATGAGGAATATGAATCAGGCTAGAACAAAGATGTGGTGCCTTCAGATTATTAACTGTGACATTTTCATCAATTCAAATTCATAAATGAAAGTCAAGGTGCTCTGTTCGAATCTTGCAAATGTTTTTTTTTTGTCTCCTGAGTAAAAAATGCACTGCATCATTCATTCACCTCTATCTGTTCCTCCATCCATTCTCGCTCCGCAGGCTTTATCTCACCGTGCCAGCATGTGTTTGCCTGTGTGAATGTGCGTCTTTTGTTTGTGCCTGTATTTACCTTTGCACATGTATTTATGCTTTGCATTGTTGTCTATCGTCTGAGTCTTTTATTACACATTTAAGCCAACAAACACTGTTCCCTCTACATGCAGCAATCTGTTGCCGGTTATGGTGCCTGCTTGAGAATGGTAAATAATGGAATGGAAAAGCAGTGTGACGTTTCGGAAGGGTTTCTCTTACCTCAGATAAAAAGTCCAGTTAAACGCATAATGGGGTTAAATTGCACAAGCGAGCCAGGGGAATGATACTCCTGACTCCAATTGCAATTATGGAATGTAATTATTAAAGGAGGTAGTTCTTATTTTCATGCCTTTTAGCCTGCACATCCAGTTAATTGACAAAAAGCTGTCTACAACCTGGTAGCATCTCGTAGTTGTTCACATTGCAACAGTCCATCCTGAACAGCCTCTTATTGATTTCTCTTCATACACACAGGCTTCAGGGTAGGACTTAAGTGTAAATGGGTTTCTGTCTGTGAGGTTCACCGCCCCAAAAATACATGATTGTGCACTTACACATTACACCCAATACAAAGACCTGATAGCCTCCCTCAAAAACAAAAGGTGTCCAACATAATGGACCTCTATTGATAAAAGATCGATGTGAAGTGGTGAGGTGGGCCACATGCAGCCCCCATCAACCCTCAACGTGGCCCTCAGGTCAATGAAATCATGAAAACCAGAAATGTGTCGGTAATAATATTTGATCACTGGTAAATCTGAGACACAAGTGACTGTAATTTTTTTTGTGTCCTACAATTTGGTCCCCTGGCAGTGAGAATTAAATAAATGTGGCCCTTGATGTGACCAAAGTTGCCCATCCCTGGCATGGGCTATAACTGACCCCCTGGGAGAGATTCAAAAATGTTGGGCTTCAGGACAAAAAATGGCTGTAAACAAAACTATGCTAACTTCCATCGATAAATCCCTTCTTTCTACTGAACTGTATACAATGTAATATTCAACTGTAAAAGGCAGAAGCACACTCAGATGTGCCGCTGTTAAATCTCCCTAAAGTGAAGATGAACAATCCACTGCCAAACTGCCGTCTGCACGTTCCTTGTTGTTGTTGTTGTTGTTGTTGTTGTTGTTGTATCTGGCTGACAAAAACAAAATAAATTCACGTTGGATTATTTCCTCCAGACAGCCTGATGGACACTTAATCACAAAATATCAGCTAAATCTATTTATGTGTCTGTCAGGTCAACTGAAGCTGACGTCCTTCGCTTCAAAGATCGGCTTTATCAGCTTATCAGGAACCTCAAATAGGCCTATTTGCATTTTAATGTATTGCAATTGACTGGCATTTGGTTCATTTGATAGCTATTATTATTCATTAACTGACTGTGCCTGTGTAACCCAAGCTTTATATTTCCGATTCTATTAACAGAAAGAACAGCAGTAGCAACATAGCTTGTAAGACCTTGTTGTGGGTCTAGGAAACCTCAAATGTGATATTTAGGATTCTCCAGGTACAGTCATCATCGACCTGCCATTAGGGCTGTTACATGATAATCTGATTTACCCGTCAAAACTTTATTAAATCCCTTGGGAAGGTTCCCTCAGGAAATTCAGATTCCAGCAGCAGGTAACACCAAAGGATAGAACAGCACACCGATACAAAAACTAAAATAAAAAAAACTCAAGTTATACATGTATACAAATAATATACTGTACACCAGTAGCAGCAAAAGACATGTATAAATAAAATATTTAGATAGGTATGAATATTTATACTAATATAGTAGCAGCAGTAAAAAATGGTAACAGCAGTTGTGTTGTTTTGTATTTGTCCTCTGTGTTTATAAATAGATAATTAACAATGAATAATGCAAGCTGTTAGGATTGTGTTGTGGTCAGTTCAGGCCTATTTCTCCCCCGCCATCCTCTGTCCTCAGACGGCACAGTCCATGTTGACCAAACACAGCAAATAAACCATCTTTCAGCGATGGAGTTTTGAGGACTGTTTAATTATGACTGAAGAATCACAACATAAACACAAGAGATGGCAAAACACACTAGAGTTAAATGATGTATATTTATCTGTTCATTTATATAGGAGGTCCAGCAGTGACACTGCTGTTATGGTTGCAAATTCCACTCTCTTCTCTTGCTTCTTTCTGCTTACAAAATGTTTGTTTTCCTTACCTGAGGCCATGTCTAATCAGAAAAAGCATATAACTTAAACCATGTTAAAGGTAGAGTCAGTTAGCATTGTTGGTTGCAGCTTGTAAACACAACATTCAAACTGGGCACCTCCTACTGGGCTCATCGCCCCCAGAATTGCACACCCACTGCAGGACGTAGTGTGCACATGTATTGCATGTACCTACACTGTAAGCTACCACACGCTAGCACAAGCTAACCACCTGTGTTTGGCACCTGCCTGTCCAACAGAAAGTATCTGCATCCACCGGTAGAAGTCAACACAAGGTTCACCTTTGTTTTGGAACAAGCTTTTTGGCGTTTTGCCTCACTGTGATAGTATTTTCCCTTCCTTGCCACCATTTCCACTTCCTTCATATTTACCGGTTTGAAATGCGTCCAATCGCTGAATTGTATAGACTCCTAAATTCAGTTGCTGAAGGAAACACTGGGTCATTGGCTGGGGGAAACACAAGAGACCTCCGCCCAGAAAAGTCCAGGGTCAACCAAAGCAACACAAAACGTCAAAATCCAGACATAGGACAGGGTCTCTGCAGACACAGCCACCACCACACACTCTACTAAAGAAACCCATGTTTTGGATTGAGTTTTTTTTTCAAGTTTGTTGACAGCTTAAAGTTATCATAGAATACGTGTTTCTCTGTCCACACTCTTGACTTTTCCCCCCTCCTGTGACCTTGCAGCCTCCTAAAGTGAGATGTCTGACCAGAATATGGCATCCTAACATCACAGAGAATGGAGAGATCTGTTTGAGGTAATGTGGTCCACACCTTCTTCATTGTGTCACTGATGAAAAACCTTCCGTCGTTAGCTCATCTGTTCTATTCATTCATAGTGCAGTATTGTTCTAACTGCTTACAAAGTAAATAGAATAAATGACTCCCATACACTAGAAATCTGTTCTCATGTATTTTTTTCATCAGTTCATTGGGAAATGACACGTATTGACAATTTTTGGCCTTTATTTTTTTTTTTCATACAGCTTATTGCGGGAACACTCTATTGACGGCACAGGCTGGGCCCCCACCAGAACATTAAAGGTATATTAATTGCTTTTTAATTTTTTTAAAAACATAATTTGCTTCTGAAGCTTACAGTATGTTGCAGCCTTTAAAAATATATATAAATCAGTTCTTTTAGAGCTTTTTATTGTGGATTTTCTTTATCTGTTTTCTAAGTGTGGATGATGGCTTCACTCTAATGGGACAGTTTTACACCACTCTGTATGGCAGCAACCTTTTGTTTCTCTTCGAGGGTCCAACTTGTTCTTACAGCATCTTCAACCATTCTGCAGAAGAATTGACATTTGCAGCTTTTCATATATTTAAATCTTACAAAATAGAGTAGCAGATTTAAACATTATTTTACAGTTCTACCACATGAAGTTTTTCTATTCCATATAAAACAAGATAACACAAAAACCCTTCATGGACTAATAAAAAAAAGCATATAATTCCCCCACTCAAGTTGCACCCCTGCTCAGTGGAAGCTTTATTTATGATAATCAGAAGTCATCCAGAGAGATATATGGATTGTTTTGTATCACTTCTCACTACCCCCTATGTTTACTGTCTTTGTAGCATGACATAAAATACATTGGAAACACGTTTTTTTAATAAACCCATGTCTATAGAACTTTTCAATCAATCATCAATCTGTATTTGCACCAATTCATAACAAAGGTTAACTCGGGACGCTTTACAAAGAGCATGTAAAAGAACTTACTCTTTGTTATTTAATATTAAAAAAGAGCAGGTAGAAGACAGTACTCTTTGTTATGTTACAGAAGAAAAGGGGAGATGGGATAATATGCAGGAAGTATTTCTCCTTTGTATTCCTCACGTTCCTGTTGTCCACACTTCCTGGCCGCCGAGGTGGAGGTCGGAGCAGGTCGTGCATGAATGAGGATGCGCGGTGGTTGTGGGGACGACGCAGTCTGAAAGGGGTGGCTGGGCGTCAGTGACAACGGCTGGTAGTAGTGCCAAATGACCTCGCTGTTTTAAAGTTACTTCTGCAGTGACAGAAACTTGGATATCTGTGATCTTGTAACAATGCATTATTCTCAAATCTTTAAGATGTATGAAATGTTTAAAATGAATACAGCAAAGCCTTAGTCTTCACAGACTGGGTAATCTAGAGCACAAAAGACCTGAGGATGACACTCATTCACATAACACCTTCTTAATATTCCACCTGTTTCTTTACCCTCTTAAACTGACTCAATGAGGGTTCAAGCAGGACTGCAGAGTGCTGTTGAAAACACAGTGAAATCCTCTCAGTACACAATGAATAATCCTTCGCAGGGCTATGTTAGATAAACTTTACAACAAAGGCCTTTTCAGCAGCTCATAAAAGAGCGCCTTGACTACTTAAGCTTTACTCTTCACTCAGCAGAGCACCATTTGAGAGTGGTTAAGAATAAGTCTGTAAGGAATAAAAGCAAGGCCGCCCTCTACTATTGATATTGAAGATTTGACTAAAATGATGCTCTAAAGAAACTTGAGTGTGGAACTAAATATATTTGAATGGTGAATCTCTGCTTCTGAAAAGTTTCTCTTAAACTATAAGGGCGCACTATCACTAGGCTCAGTTGTCCCGTACTGTGCTGAAGCACAATTGTCACCCAACATGTTTAAAGGGCCATCCACTAAATTCTGCTGCTCTTGAGGTTATTGTCAGGATGTGTCTCATTCTTAGGAGTTCTCATTCTGCTGTGGTTTTGCACACATGAGCTTACTTGTTCGCCTTCTTCCTCGGTTTTCAGACAAATCATATCCTGCATAATGGAAAACTGTCAAACTAGATAATGTTTGTTATATTGGAATGTCATCGTTACCCACATCACTGAACACATTAGGGTTTCACTCTGCATGATATCATTTTCTTCATGCGTGAATAAGAAAACACCCCAAAAACCCCCATATAGTTATGCAGCACCACTGTGAGTGCATTCTGTCTGTTTTGATCCAAAATGCTTCCATTCAGCAGCCCATCTGAAATAGCATTTGAACCAACTCTGCCTTTTGAACCCACTGAGCCAATGATTGAGCCAACAAAAATATTGTGATTCCCTCCTCTCTTATGTTGACATACAAACCAAAATAATTACAGGGGGTACAGATTTTAAAGTTATAATATGCAACTTTCAGATTTCCTGGAGATGTAGAGACCAGTCTCTTAAACCAAAACAAAGCTGTCCCTAGTGCACCACTTCCCCTCCTCCCCCACCCCTAACTTAGTCTTCCGACCAAATTTCTACGTCTGATCTCCATTCAGATATGCAGTCTAAAGTTGATTTGGTACTTATTTCTTTGAAGTATTTTCTCTGTTTTTTTTAAGTCTGTTGGTTCTCCTTTAATTGTACTCTTGCAGTCAAACTCTGCCATGATGCTTCTACTAACAGCAACACTGAGTGGGCTTGGCAGTCTGTCTTTCCCCCCGTGTGGTGGCAGGGCTAAGGGTTGGACAGGGAGGGGGTTCACGTACATGAAACATGTTTGAGCCTCTGAGTGAAACATAAACAAGCTGAAAGAATTGCCGTCCTGTCCCGTATGAACCCAGAGCTAAAAACAACAAGCCCAGAGGGAGTTGTTGGTCAGCTTGGCTAGGTGTCCCAGAATGCTCATATTCACCTCACAATTTGTTTAAGTTTGCCAACAGAACATTTGTGATTTGTGCATGACACACCCAACTAGAGCCAACAGATAATATTGGCCGGTATTAGCTTATCCAGTCACTATTGGTATCGTCTAATTTTATGGCAGATGGTGGTGATGCACGTACATGCTCAGTTACTTCTAACTTGAGTGACCATCTTTTCCACAAGTGTTTGATAACTGCATGTGAGCAATATATGCAATAAATGTGTGTATCTATCTCTACAGATGGAACATAGATCTAAAAATAAGATATTGCCCAATATATATCGGTATCAGATTTCTTTCTCCCCAAAAATGCCATATTGGTCAGACCTGGTTACATCAGAAAACAAACACTGTCATGTTATACCAACCAAAGACCAAACCAGCTCACTTGAATATCACCCCCTTCTATGGGAACTATGTCTGAATACCTGCTGTGATTTTCACTTTTTTGCAAAAAATGAGAGAAAAAAAGTTGTTGAGAAAAAACAGAAGGTTGCAGTTGTTTATTTGAAATGTATTTGTATGCAAAGAATCACCTTTGTATCATAGCAAAACACTTCAAGGTACTCCACTCTTCAGGATGTGGCAGTGGGTTGTTGTGCATAAACATGCCTTATTATCACCATGAGATGTCGAGGTAGAAGGAGGTGGTGTACATTAAGAGACACACACAGCTTTTTATTTTATTTACTTAGAGACTTTCTTTATGCATACAAATTCTAAAATAATCATTTCCCTTCGCTACATCCTGCCTTCCTTTTCTGGTGAATAGATTTTTTCTTACTCTGACCCACCAGACTATCAAGTACAGTTGTCAACGTGAGCCAGTGGTAAACATAAAACTACCTCAGATATTTTAATGTATTTAAATTTAACAGCATTTCAAAGCTTTCTTGTGAAAATTGTGAACTTTATGTTTCATATTACATTTTTCAATCAATATCTTGCTCTTAAAAAACAAGCCCCCCCCCCCCTCGTGTTTTAGAATGTAGTAAGTCTCAGTTGTTGTTTTAAATCCTTTGAATACTTTCCCCTGAGCCTTGATTCTAAGAAGGCTCGGTGCAGAAAGCAGCTTTGCATACTGATTGGGTGCTTATCTTTATGTATTTTTGGCATTTTTGAAGCAATAATAACCAATGAGCACATAAATCAGGCTTACGGAGGACTCCGGTTAGTATTGTAGATTTCATGTAATTGGTATGAATTTATTTATTCTACATTTTGCTGTACAGATACATGTATTTAGGCTTCTGTATCAGTTTACTGCAAAGTTGAGATGAAAGCACAGCTAGCATTGGGAGGCTTACAGCTTAGGGATTGGAAAGGAGCCTGCTGCGTTGCGATACTCTGCCGGAAACGATGTTTTTATGTGTGTCAGTGAGTATCATGGTGAGTGCACAAAATATATGTGAGAAAAGGTAAGTGCAAAAAGCTGTGAGTCAGAAAGGATTGTGTTAGTGCTGGAGTGGGTGATGATGTCCCTCTTTGCTGGTCACCACTTGTCTCCTCTTCAGCCCACACACACATGCCCACACACCCAGTGTCATGTAAAATACCGTCGCAACAATTACTTTTATTCAACACACATTTTATGTGCAAAGCTTTGAAAAAACAGGTTACAAAAGAACAGTTCTGACTGGTTATGACTTCCTCTTTATTATT